AAGTTATCTATCTATCTATTATATACTAAAAGTCTATGAAACTTCCTACAAATGCTCTCAAGCCGCCATGTGGCCTTCTACAAATGCTCTTAGGTCGCCACGTGGCATTCTATAATCTCACCGTCGATTTTTTTTAAATCGGTAGACCCATTAATTTTAACCATTAGATCTCCATCTAAAAAAATAAATCTGGTGTCCCTACTTTTTTTAAAAAAAATTACCATATTTGCTCTATAAAAACAAAGAGGAGAACACCGTAGACAAGAGGTCTGGATCGGGCAGGGAACGTTAGTATGTTTTTTTCTTTTTTTTTTCCGGCGGCATACATACGTACTCCACGTTAGTATTATTTTTTCCTTTTTTTTTTGCAAACAGTACTTTTCCTTTACACCTTCTGAAAACAGTACTACTACTACGCACATCGTACGTACACTGGGAGTTTAGGAGGTAGTGTTAATAGATATATAAAATCACATCTTACCGATTTAAGTGAAAATCCACAGTTAGATTTTTTTTCTTTTTCTTATAATTTTTAATAATTCTTTTAATTGAGAGATATGACATGTGGTGACCTACAAGCTTTTTATATGAGTGTCACGTGACAGCTTAATAGCGTTTATACAAAGTTTAAGGGACATATATACTAAAAGTTAATTAAACTTCCAATAAATACTCTCAAATCGTCATATGGCCTTCTACAAACGCTCATAAATCATCACGTGGTATTCTATAATCACACCGTCGATTTTCTTTTAAAATGGTGGACCCGTTAATTTTAACAATTAGATCTCCAACGCAAAGAAAATAAATCTGGTATCCCCACCACCAACACCTTACGTACATAAGGTAAAAAAGGATAGTACGTACTCCTTCCATCCTCCGAATCTCCCATCCTCTCCTATTTTCTAGCTAAGTTATCCTATTTTCTCATTAACACTCAATATATCAAAAAATAATTCGGACATCTAAATGATCACGACTCTCAAGTTATAATTTTATACTCAGTTTTTGTCAATTGTTGTGTTATTTATAATTAAATATAAAATTCAAAATCCATATTACTCATATTTTATCTAAAAATTAGATCGTGCTGCCGTTCTAACTACAAATGTCAGGGCCTAATGGTACGTCCATAAACACTTCTAAGTTGATCTCGCCACGTAACACTCTAATAAATTAGAAAAATCTATAAGTATGACAAATGAAAATAAAACATCTAACAATCGCTTTCCACTTAAATCGATGGATCCACTATTTTATATGGTTAGATCTATTTTAAAAAGAAAATCCCAAAACCCCCTCCTGTTCCTCCCATTCCTCCGATTCCTCTCTCCCTACCATTCCTTCTCTATTCTTTTTTTATCTCCATAGTAACTAAATCCTACATTTTCTTTGTGATAAAAAAACTCCCACAAATGGACTCCGTCTAACAAGTCTAGCCAGTTTCCCCCTGTGTCATGTGCTTTTCTTCTCTTTCTCCTCAAGCTAGCACTTATAGAAACAACGTAAACTAGACTTTAAAATACTCATAAAATTTTAAATCGTGTATTCATTTATGATATTTCTACACTATTGTAATTTTCAATTAAATCAATAATTTAATATCTGTATTGACTTACATTGTGGACCACATCTATCCACCTTTAAGCCTCCAATAAATAAAATAGAATACTAACATTTCTCATTAAAAAATTAAAATATATCACCTTATGTTTCTAATAAACAGTCAACCCATTATTTATACCATGCTAGACATCTAATCACCTTCTTCCAACTCCTTCTATTTCAGATTATAAGTCATTTTAAATTTTGTCAATGTGAAATTACTTGAATTAGTTTATAAAAAACATAGTAATATTTTCAACACAAAACAATCATATTATAAAAACATATTCAATTTTGAATTCAATAAAAATAATTTGGTGTTGTAAATATTGATATATTTTTCCTCAACAGTGGAAGTAGTTAATTTCTCTTAACATGCATATAGGGGCTATTTACTTATACTTGATCATAATTAGATGCACTTTTATAAATAAATGATCTTTTTAGGGATAAATAAACGTTCCTAAGATGATCATAATATCTAAATTAAACATATGATATCTGATGTCACTAATAGATTACAGAAAAAACTTTTAATTATATCATTTTTTTATGTCATAACGTGTATCCCGTCTAGGATCTATTTGTCATACACAACACATTGAAAACATTTAAGGGATGCCTTTTTCTCATGCCAAGTTGTATAGCCTTAACCCACTTATATTTCCATTCTAGATTGCAGAGATCAAAACATTTAAGAGATGCTTGATGGAATGGAAATCTATAAAAAAAAATAACATGATAAAAATAATTGAAGACTGAACTTTTTTTTTCTAAATTTAACTTTTTTAAAAAAAAATTGATACCCATCCTAAATAGCAATGTTTTAATATTTTTGGAGTACTGAAATAATGAAAATAACTAAAATTTTAAATAAAATATAATAGAAAATTTGAATTTTTCTGTATTATGTTGAAAACAAAATCTAACATAATTTCAGTTCAAAGTATACAACCCTAAACTACAACTTGGGAGCGATAAAAGTCTTATTTTCTAATATATTTTCTCATAGAGAAAAACATTTACCGCTAAACTGTAGTTTCATACTGCAATACTATACACACAACTAAATCAATATTTCAGCATATTCAGCTCATAATTATATGTAGTCATATTAGGCATATTTTTAATAGAAAATATCTTCAATTAATATATCCTAAAATTCATAAAGACATTATACAAAAGAAAATTGTTACTCAGAGTTTAGAAAGTACAAAATTAAGTTATGCTAAATATTAAAAAAAGAAACGCATTACGTACAAATGATATATAGTTTCATATATTTTTTTCTTATAAAACCAAAACTGCATTGTTTTAAGTAATTTTAGTTTATAATTTATAAGTCGGCGATGGTTACTAGCATTCAGAGAAACACCACACAAATTATTGAAAAATTAAAGATATTTACAATAGAATAATCATAAATATTCCTAATCAAATTTCTAACACAGTTAAATATGATGCGCGGGCTACCTTCCTAGTTGGCTAAAAGATTGTTGGGGCCACTATTATGCCTTTGGACAAGCTTGCAGCCTAGCTAGTGGCTACTAGTTAATTTCTCTGTCCCAAAAATATAAGAATTCTACCCTTTAAATTCAAACGAGCACCACTATATATATACGATGAAATTTCTTACGAACAACGTACGATACTGCTCAGCCTCTTGTGCATGCAAAAAACATGGCCCCAACATGTTTCCGTGGCCCAATCATACACATATAAGACAAGATCGTAATAAAATCGTACTAATTCTATCGTACGCTACGCATAGCAATTTCCTTAAATTGTCCTAAAATATAAGACATTTGAAACAATACTTTGTTCCTCACCTACCACTTTTTATACTCCCTCCGTTTCACAATGTAAGACTTTTTAGCATTGCTCACATACATATAAATGTTAATGAATCTAAACACATGCATATGTCTAGATTCATTAATATCTAAATGAAAGTAGGCAATGCTAAAAAATCTTATATTGTGAAACGGGGGAAGTACTAGTTTATTTCCTACTCATTATCTTTTGTACTGGTTTATTCTCCTAGACATCATCTTTTATACTACTTTATTCTTCCAACCCTCACCATTTGTAACATGCTTTGTCTTTTTACTACTTCCCTATTTTTTATAAAAAAAAGGACATAATCTCTTATATATATCTAAGAGCGAAGTGAGTATGGTACACAGTTTCTCTATCGTCCACCTCACCACAAATGCAATGTGACAATCCTTATAACTTGCTGATGTAGGCATGCTATACTTGCTCTTATGTACGGATATAGCTGTCTGCACTCGCAATGTTGTGTGCACTGTTCATTTTTTGGGCTCAATACACTTAACCCGGTAAACCAAACTAGGCCAACCCATTTTTCGTTTCTAGAAGGGCTGTGGCCTTTTCGGTCCTGGAAAAGGGTCTAGAAGCTAAGCTGCATTTTCTGCTGGGCCTCAGAAGGGCCCATTTTTTACATACCCTACATACCTACAAAGGAATAAGTCCACTTTGACTCCCTTAAACAAAGGGCGCAATCTAATTAGTATCCCTCAATCACAATAACAGATAGGGAGTATCTATGCATCTTTTGAAAGATTTTTATGATTTTTAATCTTTGGACACAGTAAAAAACAAAAAGCAACTAAGAAACACCATAATGGACACTAATTACCATATCTTTAAGAAAAAGATCAAATCCAATATAAATTTCAAAACTTACATGCAAAGATTCAAAAATTACAGTGTAACTTACAAGAAAATACACTGTAAATTTGAGTGAGAAAATCGAGCGAGAGATAAGAAAAAAAATCTTTCGAGTGAGATATAGCAAAATCATGCAAGATATCTTAATCTTCAACTATTAAAACTGATGTAATTTGACTTCCTCTACAATTTTGAGAGCAGTTTTTGCTAACATGGCTCGTTGACCCACCCAACCTGCTGACTCATCATGTGGCACTAGCTTCTCTACCGCCTATGTTGTTGTCTGGGCTGACCGGCCTCTCGACACAGCCGCCACTGTGGTAGCAGAAAGGACCGGTTCAACGATCCACGTCAGCGGCGCAAGCCGTAGATAAGTTGGCGCCACATGCTGAGTTAGCCAGATAGATTGGGTCAACGAGTCATGTTAGAAAAAACTGCTGAGAGAGTCTATTACGGTTGAAGGATATGAATTAGATTGGAGCTATTGAGGGAGTCAAAGTGGGTTTACTCCACCTACGAATCCAATCTGGTAGAACAATGGAACTTTGTATTGGGCCGTACGTCTGCTCCATTACTAAATGGGCCTAAGAGGCCCAAATTAAATGACGAACATTTTTGTTTCCTTTTCTGATTATAAAACGGAGAAAAAATGATTGTTTGTTCTTGTTTAATCTCTTTCTTTCGCAACAAACCCTACCGTTAGTCCATGATCCGCGAGCGAACTGGAAATGCATGGATCGAAATTAAGGTCACTAACTGACTCCATGAATTCCGGGAGAATCTCACCTCTATACCATACGCCATCTCCATCATCTCTCGATCCATCTCCAGCAAGTTACCTATAAAAAGCTAATCCAATCCCCAGCTATCTATCTAGCTCGATCCATCACTCCATCACTCATCAAGCTAACTGCCTAACCACCATGGCGATCCACCACCTCGTCGCCTCTCTCCTCCTCTTCTTCTCGTGCTGCCACGCGGTCGCCGCCGGCGCTGGCGTTCGCGGCCGGCTGCCACCGACGCTGGCGACGTGGCGCCAGTACGCGGCCGCCGCCGCGCCGCCGCCGCAGGTGGTGCAGTACGAGACGCGGTACTTCACGCAGCGGCTGGACCACTTCAACGAGCTGCCGGCGAGCAACGGCACGTTCCGGCAGAGGTACCTGGTGAACGGCACGTTCTGGGGCGGGGCGGCGGCGCCGGTGTTCGTGTACGCCGGCAACGAGGGCGACGTCGCGCTGTTCGCCAGCAACACCGGTTTCATGTGGGAGGCGGCGCCGCGGTTCCGCGCCATGCTCGTGTTCGTCGAGCACAGGTACTACGGCGAGTCGCTGCCGTTCGGCGGCACCAGGGCGGCGGCGTTCGCGGACGCGTCGGCGGCGGGGTACCTGACCACGGCGCAGGCGCTCGCCGACTTCGCGGAGCTCATCCTCAGCCTCAAGTCCAACCTCACCGCCTGCAAGGCCCCCGTCGTCATCTTCGGCGGCTCATACGGCGGCAGTAAGTCTAACTTAACTTGAGTTTTTTTTAATACTCCCTGTTTCAAGATTTAAGTTGTAAGACGTTTCGACTTCGCCAAAGTTAAACTACTTTAAATTTAACTAAATTTATAGATAAATATAATAATATTTATAATATTGAATTAGTTTAATTAAATCAATAATTAAATATATTTTTTCATAATAAATTTGTCTTGAGTTGAAAATATTATTATTTTTTCTACAAACATTATTAAATTTGAAACAGTTTGACTTTGATCAAAGTCAAAACGTGGAGATAGTAAATTGCATCATTAGCAAGCAGTTGGTTAATCTTACATCATCAAGCAGTAAGACTAACTACATCATCAAACAGTTGATGGCATGTGACTTTAGGTTAATGACATGTTATCGGTTCATTTGTCAGTGACTCAAAGTGAAGGATCTATTTCTCGTTGGTGTATCTGTTCATATACGTGTGTTATTATGCTAAGGCACTTGCAGTTGTCTTAATTATTTAGCTACAATTAAGGCGAGAAAGGTGTTAGTTAATGATGCTTTTCTGTTGTGCAGTTAATCGATCAGGATTGTTCAGGAGTAGGACAGAAAATGACTAATACCTACTCCATCCGTCCAAAAAAAGACAAACCCTATTTTCCGTGCCCAACATTTGACCGTCCGTCTTATTTAAAAAAATTATGAAAAAAAAATTAAAAAGACAAGTCACGCATAAAATATTAATCATGTTTTATCATCTAACAACAATAAAAATATGAATTATAAAAAAAATTTATATAAGATGAACAGTCAAAATTGGACACGTAAACCCAGGGTTTGCCTTTTTTTATGACGGAGGGAGTACATTGGTAGTTATTAGCTATCAGAAAAATTAATTTGAAAATATATAAATGGCTAAGTAGGTGGCTAATAATTATACTAATCGGCACGAAACTGACTGGATCATATATATATATATATATATACTCTCTCCATACTTATAAAGGAAGTCGTTTAGTACAATGTTTAAGTCAAACCTTGGGAATATAAAACATGAATAATTCTCAAGTTGTTGAGTTTGAAAATGTAAAAATTATATGTATAGATTTGTCTTGAAAAATACTTTCATAAAAGTATACATGTATCACTTTTTAATAAATATTTTTATAGAAATAAGAAGTGAAAGTTGTGTTTTGGAGACCGTGTCGCTGTTCTAAACGACTTCCTTATGAGTATGGAGGGAGTATATCGAGAAAGATATATACAAATCAGTAGAGTATCAAGTTCTCCAACGTGTACTACGCATGAGTAGTGCATTCCAGCTTCCACATGTCCAAATTAAATCCCATCACAATTTAGAAAATTATCTCCCTGGATATATAGCTAGGCTCTTGAGAGAAAGAGTGAATTAACATTAGTTTGGAATGCAAGAAACTAAAAACTGAAAAGATGACGATGATAGCGTACGTGCAGGCCGGGTAGTCGATAAAAAGTCCTAGCTATAGCGTGACCTCAACTTAAGTACTACTCACTATAATTGCTATAGTTAATTAGCTGTCTGATATAAATCCAAGGACGTACGACGAAGATGATCTGATGGACTTTTTGCTGGGCCACTGACGAAAACGTCGGCCAAATATATTAAAATTTAGGATGGAATTAGAATATATAACAACATTGATTGTTTAGAAGATCGATAATCCGATGCAACTTTTCATCTTTCATAAATACTATAGATCGATAGATTTAGCTAAGATATTGTATGTCCAAGTCAGAGCTTCTTCCATTGAAAAAAATAGGTGAACGAGAGATTACGTGCTATATGCATATTACAGATACCAAAACTTAATATGGTTGTATGTCTGATGATGAGCAGATGCCAAAAATGTAAATCGTTATCTAATACTCCCTCCATCCTTAAATGTTTGACGCTGTTGACTTTTTTAAACATATTTAACCGTTCGTCTTATTCAAAAAAAAATTAAGTAATTATTTTTTTTCTATCATTTGATTTATTGTTAAATATACTTTTATCTATGCATATAGTTTTACATATTTTACAAAAGTTTTTTGAATAAGACGAATGGTCAAACGTTTTAAAAAAATCAACGGTGTCAAACATTTAGGGAAAGAGTGAGTAAGATATTTCTATTATGTACGCGTGCATGCGATTCTTTAACATGTGATTCTAGCATGATACATTGTCTGTGAAATTACATCAAGTTGGATTAATCGTAGGAATTTTTCTTTTGATAATTGATGCAAATAAACAGTGTTGGCTGCATGGATGAGGATGAAGTACCCGCACATTGTGATGGGCGCCGTTGCATCCTCTGCACCTATTCTTGGCTTAAACGGTCTATCTGATCCTTACTCCTTCTATAATGTCGTCTCCAACGACTTCAAGGTATAATAACAATTATATATATATATATATATATATATATATATATATATATATATATATATATATATATATATATATATATATATATATATATATATATATATATATATATATATTATATCGATCATTATTCTCTCTTTTTAATTACGATCGAGTACTTAGCTGCAAAATACTGCTTTGACAATTATATATGAATGCGTGTTAATTAATATATCAGAGTGAAAGTAAACATTGCTACGATGTGCTTCGAAACTCATGGAGTGAGATGTACAAAGCGCTGGCCACCGACGCAGGGCGAGCTCGACTCAACCAAACATTCAATATGTGCAAGTACGTATTTATCTGTACCCTGTACTGTATTTTTATCCGTATTCCTGACTTTAATTTAGTGCCCTTGGTGAGATATGACGAGATCACTCCTACTATTATATGGAACCACTTAACACACAAACAAATCTAATATATAATGGATTATAAATCACTATGAATTTTTTTAGAGAAGGGTTATTTTACCCGGCCTCTATATCCAACCGGATATATGCAGCCTTTTTTTAGAAACTAGGAACTTAGCCTATCAAATGGAGAACTTAGCCCTCAAATAACCCAATCTGAAATTCGCTCCTATGGAGATTTGAACTCAGGATCTTGAACTATGAAATTAATAACATAGAAAAATACTGTTAAATGCGCCTCTATGATATATTTCTAGAACTGTTGTTTTTTTAATTTCCTCTAAACACAAGGATGGGTTGAACATCAAGGGAGTAATTAATGTAATTCAATTTACGTGATTAATTAACTAATTGATTGATTTTATATATGCAGAGGTAACGTGGACGACATACCCGGCTTGGTCGAGAAGGCTCTAATCTACGGCTCAATGATGGATTACCCGACACCATCCAACTTCCTCACCTCCCTCCCGGCGTATCCCGTCAGAGAGGTATATATATACATATACGTATATAATGTATGCATACATTTCTACTCATTTTTCTCTGTGTTCATTAACTTATGGGTAATTTTATCATTATTGAGAAAATAAATATTTTCTATTGTTAAATTAGGTACCTCGAGTTGATTTATCAAAGACCTTAATTAAAATCACTCAACTTGAGAGGGGTAAAACAGCCCCCGGGCATCATGCATGGAAGAAAACCTTCTCATACAGGTCGAGAAAACCCTCTGAACCCTATCACACCCTTACATAGCGGCCACCATAGTCCGTGTGACAATTATCCCTTACATAGCGGCCACCGTAGTCCGTGTGACAACTATCTGGACCGAACCTTAGAGGCTTAGACCTATGCTTTGGCGTGTGACAGACGAGGGAATTTTTTTTTACCCTAGCCTAAAACTTATCTCCACTAGAAGTCGAACATAGGACCTGAGGAGTGCTACTAGAGCCACCTAACCAATTCATCTAGAGGCCCATCATTCACAACTTATACATACATATACATATACATATACATGTTTTATATATTGTACATTATTATATTTATGAATATAAAAAAACAGATTTGCCGCGCGATCGACAAACCGACGTCGGGGAACGACACGGTGTCGCGGATCAAGGACGCGATGACGATCTACTACAACAGCACCGGCGGGCTTGCGTGCTTCCCCGGCGCCGGCGCCGAGGACGACGACCCCTACGGCATGTTCCCCGGCTGGACCTGGCAGGCCTGCACGGAGGTGATCATGACGATGAGCTACGGCATCGGCAACGCCACCGTCTTCCCGCCGGACCCCTTCAACCTCACCGCCTACCTCGCCGGCTGCCTCGCCACCACCGGCGTCCCTCCCCGCCCTCACTGGATCCAGTCCTACTTCGGCGGCTACGTAATTTCATCATCTGTTGATCGATCATCTAAGTTAATTTCAGATAAATTAATTGATGAACTACTGATGATCGAATTAATTTTATATATTCGCCAGGATATTCGGAATGTTTTGAAGAGATCTGGGAGTAACATCATCTTCTTCAATGGACTCCGCGATCCGTGGAGCGCCGGCGGGTAATTTTTGTTTAAAATCCCAATCTGGTGCAAAATGTTAATTTACTTGGATTAATTATATAAGCACACTTGACGGCAATCTTTTTTCTTCCCGCAGAATACTGAAGAGCATTTCCAACAGCATCATTGCGCTGGTTGAGCCAAAAGGTCATCAGTCAGTAGCTGAATTTAATTTATCTATTTGAACTTTTTAGCTGCAATGAAAACCTTTTAGACTTCCTTCCATGCTGTTTTTTTTTTCATCAAAATTTATGTGTGGGAATTGAGTAAAATTTGGTTGTTGCGCGCAGGTGGACACCACGTAGACCTGAGATTCTCCACCAAGGAAGACCCTGAATGGCTCAAGAAAGTCCGGAGACAGGAGATGAGAATCATAGCTGATTGGCTCAAACAATACTACAGTGATGAGGCCATAGATAGCATGATGAACTAGTCTTAGCTGTTCTCCACAAAAAAAAAAAAACACTAGTCTCAGCTAGTATTATAAAGTAGTCTCACTATATGTGCATGACAAATTAAAATTAAGTAGCTAGCTAGGAATTAATTAAGTGGATTGGTTTTATTCCATATTGTTTTTTATCATTCTATTATTTATTCATACCCATAATAATAATAAGAAGAAGAAGAAGAAAGAAAGTACGAAAAATAATGGCGTCTTCGGCATATTTTTCTCACTCTATAATGTATTCGGCCCATCCGAATTGGGCACGTGTGCTGGATGAAACATAATCGTGTGCATGTGGGCCCGTGGGCTGGGTGAAACGTAATCGTGTGCAGCCCGTGGGATGGGTGATGAGTAGTTGGACGGGTTGGACCTACTGTTGTGAGCCCATTAGACTCAGCCTGACAGTGCTCTTCCTAGAGAGCAAATCTGTTCTTCCAACGTGCATGGTTAATTGTATTGTATTGGTTTTGCTATTTCACCTACTATAGATTTTTGGGTTTCTACATTTCACTTTTTTGTTCATTGGATTTTGCATCAAGATTTGTGTTCTTATACATCCAACTTGTATTTACACTCAGGTACAAAGAACTTACACTTGGTACTTAGTTACAGTGCACTTACACTCAGTTACACTACATTAAAATGAGATTTTACAACAGTTTTTATATTTAGATTTATGATTTTTGACATGTTTATCATTTTTTATTTTATTTAAAACGGACTATATCCAATGGTGGATAAAAGTTTATGTAATATTCTAAGCTATAAATTTCAAGTATAAAAGTTTCTACTTCCTCCGTTTCACAATGTAAGTCATTCTAGCATTTTCCACATTCATATTGATATTAATGAATTTAGACATATATATCTATCTAGATTTATTAACATTAATATGAATGTGAGAAATGCTAGAATGATTTACATTGTGAAACGGATGGAGTATTTTTTATGAACGTTATTACAATAAGTTGCATCTTGTGCCAGCATTTTCATCTTAAAGAAAAAAAAATAGCATTACTGCATTAAGTGGAGTACCAGTTACTGTTGGCCACTGGCTGATCCGTCGATTCATGATTGTTTCTCGCTGTAGTACGTCAGGTGTTGTTACTACAAACAAGTAGAGATGGATGTGGTGGTACTGTGTCCAGGGTTAACATTTTCGACGAAAAATGTAAAATTTTGTGGTTTCGACACAGGACGAAAGCAATTTCCTAGTGAAATTTCGAATGGTTCTTGAGAATTCAAATTTGGAACACTAATTTCAACCAAAATCTCTACTGTTATAAAAATTAAAGATGTTTTTACTGGTACTTTGATACGTCATCTGTGTATGAGTCGATTTTTAAGTTTGTTCAATTTTGGAAAATACAGATTTATGTTTGAGTCGGTTTGTAAGTTTGTTCAGTTTTGAAAATAGAAAAGGAGTCGTATAAGAAATTTCTTTTAAAAAACGTTGGACACCTAATTGCATCTCAAGATTTTTTTAAAAAATATATATCTCTAAGCGAATTTCTTTTACCTTAACTAAACAATATAGCAATAATAAGATTAACATAGCCTCCATCGTTGCAACGCACAGGTATTTTTTCTAGTATAAATAAAATTTGGTAAAAACAAAAAAAAAACACCGTACCGCTGGGATTGAGATCCGGCGCTACTCAATCGGAGAGGTGAACCTCGATTGTATTCATCTATGGCTGTGTTTAGATTCAAAGTTTGGATCCAAACTTCAGTCCTTTTCCATCACATCAATCTGTCATACACACACAACTTTTTAGTCACATCATCTCCAATTTCAACCAAAATTCAAACTTTGCGCTGAACTAAACACAGCCTATAGCTGGACGGCTAGCTCCATCAATGGTATGATGATATATAAATCGATCCTCTGGCCGTACTAGCCAGTGGCCACCCTGCTGCTGCTGCTGGTCCATGGACCATGGATGATTAACTGCATGCATCTGCATCGATCGACCGATCATGCATGCGATGGCCTGCACCTAGATAGCTAGGAGGTACTAGCTATACACAGCCAACTAGCCAGCGACGGCGACGGCGAGGACCCAGCTGCTCTGCACAGCACGTCGCCGGCCGGCAGGCCGCCGATGGATCGATCGGTCGATCTCACTGTCTTCTTGCGTAAGCCCAGCAATGGGGGACCGGATCGACCGGCACCTCTGCTGCAGCTGCATACTCCATTTATCCCATGAAAAACCACATCCTATGTATGTTTAGATTCGTAGTATTAGGATGTCATATGATCCAGTTTTTCTATGGGACGCAGGAGTACTCACCTCTGCGGCTGCAGCTGCATACTCTATGCAATTGTGCATGCACGCGACGAGGAAACGAGCTGCCGCTGCTGCTGCTGCCAAACTGTTGGAGTGGGGGAAGGAGGAGCCAGCTGCTGTGGATGTTTGCTGCGTGCGTTGCTGGTTGGTTGTTGCTGCTGAATTTGCTGATGCTGATGCTTGTGTGTGGCGTGCACTGCCATTGGCAATGGCACCTGCCTCACGTTTCACTTTCACCTGCTCATCAGCCTCCTCTCACCACACAGTGTCTCTCACTTCGCTGCACGCATGTCCCTGCTTGTTTTGCTGATCCTGTCTGTCACTGAGAATCTGAGACAGCGATGTGATGATTAGTCTCGTGAAAACAGCTGCTACTCTCTCTATCTCAAAATAAACAAAATAACACAAGATCGATTCATAATACTGTAATGCCTCGTATCTTGAACTACTAAGTTTATTTATTTATTTTAGAATGGAGAAAGTACGTACGTGCCTAGGAGTACTACTGTGTCATCTCACTCAACAAGCTCTACTGTTACTACGAGTACTTACTTTCACCTGCAGGATTCTCCAAGGCTGGCACCCATCTCCTCCTGCTGCTACAGTACAGTCAGCAATACGGATGTCATCTGCAGTTCTGCACTATAGTAGTAACGTTAGTTACAGCAACAAATATTAACTATAGCCAAGAAATCCTTGTGTAACTAATGGTCAGGTACAATATAGATAGAACTGCCAATCCAGCGTACTGTACCAGCAGAAAAAAAGAATGGCTGTATGGAAAATGGAACAGCAACGTACGGTACAAGGCCTACCCATTGGGTCATCTTGTGGTGCTTCTGTTCTTGAGCCAATCGGGTACAGTGTCATGCATCATCAGGATACTGTTCACTGTGACACCTCACATTGTTCATGCTTTCTCTCTCTTTCTTCCACTTTGTCTGCCTTCACTAAAGTCCCTCTTTATGCTGACAGAAAGAGGGTAGTACAACGCAATGCATGACCTGCGAGGGTAAAAGGCCGAGTCTGATGACACACACATAGGAGTATACTCCTACCTGTTTCTCTCCCCCATCATCTCCTTCGTCACCTTCGATCTCCATCACGTCAGTCTTCGCCAGTGCGCCACAAGAAAAAAAAGCTCCAATTTAGATCATCCGCAATACGCATTCTCATCACACGCCACACGCACAAAAGAGAGATCTGCCAAAAAAGATCGCGAATTTAGCTGCGCACACCTGCGCCCGGTACAAAAAAATTTAGGCACCACACATGTAAACAACAGCAGCTGCGAAATGATCAAGTGATACTACTCCTAGTAGTAGCTAGTACCAGCAGAACATGGTCCCCCAACATCCAGCAGTTTAACCCCCGGGAATATTACAAACAGATCTCATTACACCATTATGCAAGATTCCAGCATCACGTTTTTGCAAAACACAAACAAAATCGTGGCAAAAATTTTCAATGGACAAACCGCGACAATTATGAAATATTAGCTAGGATGTCACACTAGTTCTCCATATCAAATGGATGCAGCATGATGTACTACATATACCTTTTTTTTATATGGAAAAGTCTCTCCTTTGGTATGGAAGAACTTTGCAGGAATTTTACAGGAATTCCAGTGTTCCAAATAGGGGCAGAGCCAGGCCTAATGCAATTAGGGCTTGACTCCATGATTCGATTCAAATCTGATGAAAAAATGTATGAAAATTTTGAAAATATATGATTTCTAACCAAAATGGATCAATTCAGCCGTAGGGTTGCGCATTTGCAAGCTTCGCCCCTGGTTCGAAAGGAACCCTAAATGTTAGTACAATGGAAACATTTAATTGGCTGTTCCGTCTTTCCAAAAAAAAAAGAATACTTCCGATGATGGTACGCACCTGTGAATAAAGAGTAACATGCAGCTCAAGAGTTTAGTAGATTATCTACATGAACTTGGCAAAACATGCATGCATGGTCTTATGGAAAGGAACTTAGACCAAGAATAAAAAAAATGAGGAGCATTGGCATGTGGCCCCTCGTCTTGAGTTATCTTGTATTCAATTCCATTAAGATACCAATTCGTTCATGTGCATGGCAAAACCAAACCAGCATTATCAAAATATTGGGCAGGTGAGCTGCTCATTTGATTGACTTGTGAAAAAGTCATGCCGGGAGGCTCGCTAGTTATTCATGTTCATGCTTAAATATGATAGGCTTGGTCAAAACTCGCCACTGAGCTTGCACTATTCAAATGCAGAAAAAAGATTAAAAAAAGAATATGCAAACTCAGCTACAACGGTATAATTTATTATCCATCAACATGTACACAATGAAATCAAGTTAATGGTATGTACGTGCTAGATTAATTGTTTTCTTGATCAAAATTTACACATGTCAATTTGTCAACAGTAAAAAGGGTTTATGCTTAACCATAACACATTCCTGCATGCTTGTAATCCTTTTTTTTTGGAGCATCATTCCTCTATTTTAAAGGTTCCAAAAGAATCATCCGTTAACTTTCAATGAAAATGCAAGAAGAATGCATTCCCCTAGATCTATGCACCTCTACAGACCTATTTAACTTTTGCAAATGAGGGCTCATCATTTGCATAGAGCTACATGTAAGTAACCTCCATGGCTTTCTTTGTAAGATTCCATAGCAAACGAACAATTTGGACTAAATCGTGATGTTACGTACTCCAAGAGATGCTAAACATAGGGTAATATTATATTTAGTAACATTTACGTGTACATTTTTTAGTATAGATATTCTTTTACAGTACATGTACCAGCCTACCAGGTAACCTCCGTTTTCTTTGTTCTAGATTTATTACTTTTCCTGTGTATGCACATACTTCATCCATCCCAGAATAAGTTAATGTAGTATTGGATGTGACACATCCTAATAATATGAATCTAGACATGTTTAGAATGTGTCACATAGTAGTAAAATGAGTCACATCCAGTACTACATTAATTTATTCTAGGACGGAGGGAGTAGAAAAAAAGCAAAGGGCAACACAACAGTGACAACACCATCTTCTGGTGATTTGTACAACTAGGAGAATCTATGAGGACAGGGAGATGTACACAACAGTGGAGAGCGAATTGGGGACAGAAAAACTTATCACCTGATTCAAGAACTTGTTGGAAATCGTTGAAAGGGAACTCTGTACTGGTCCATTCTTGATCCTGGCGTTTGGGAACTTGAAACCTCATAGCAGAAAGTAGGAGCAGGCAATGACAAGGCCACGTGAGATTACAATCACATTTTCCTGTTTTTCAGATACCGGTTAGCAGGTAAGAGCAGAAAGCAGAAGATAGATGTGATTTACAGCATATTGACAAGTGATCTGATGTGAAAAAGAAACAGCTAACGAAATGAATGTAGACAATATGTTTTAAGATCCGTTAAATCACCGTTATGATTGGATTCTCGACAGTGTTACCTATAACATAACAATGACCCCAGATGGCCCCTCCGGTTTCTCCAAAGGTTGACAAACTGAATAATACTTAGAATAAGCATGTATTAGTCAGCACACGATGTATCTAACCATGTATGCATCCCTCAAAACCATGTGACGGAAAACTTGTCTCCAAAGAAGCAAGCAAAGCGACATTGGTGATTTTGTCCCCAATATTTTAAAGAATCTGATACAGATCTGTCATTAAAAATATGACAAAACAGATCACCTAGTGTTCTGTATAACTGTATTCCAGTCCTCCAGCAACAGCAGTTGCTCCCCAAATGCCTGATGCATCTTAAGCCCAAAAGGCATCCACTAATTTATTTGCTAATTTATAGAGGTGATCATCTAACACAAGAAATAAAATAACACACAGGGGCTTTGCTCCCATGCAAAAGCCCCCAGTGTCCTGAACAGAGGCAGGTCGTCCTGCCTCCAGTGGCTTGAATGAAAATTAAACCTTACAGACAATTCAATTCATTGTGTAAGAATCCATCCAAAACCAGCTCTTTACTCGAAAGTCTTTGCCATATTATTAGGTGGTCACTGGTCAGGCAACACAATCAATGAGACAGCCCTGACACCACCCTTGATTGTGTTGAATCTGTGATTAAAAAAAAATATGGCTTGTACTATTACGACATTTTTTTGCGCAATATAATTACATTGACAGCATGCACCTCAAATGTAACATCCAAATACTGAAGAAACCAATACCCTCAACAAGTATTTGACTGCTCGCAGAAATCTATCCATCTATAGAGTCCAATAACAAGGTTAACCTAGTCGCCTGGCCATTACCATTTTACCATCCAACAGGGCAAGATTTTGTTTGACCAACAGGAATGTATTCTTTAAGACAGAAAGCAGTAGGTTTAAATTAGGAAGCATTTTTTTTACAGTATTTGCTTTTCAGGCTAAAGTCAGGTCTTTGGAATCTTTCAGCTAATCTAGCCTAGTTCACTACATGTCTCCACAGGCACTAGCTTCAGTTCCAAATGCACAGTGGAATGGACAGCACACTCAATTGGCAACCGAGTTCCCAACCAGCACTCCCTTTCGCCAACCCAAAGCCAGATGGAAATGGAATGCCCTGCAACATCAGAAACCTGGACCTCTCTATAGGTTAAAATGGGGGGAGCTAATGACAGTGGTCACACATAGCTAGGTTGCAACCACCAGGCACATGGCGAGTAGTGGTAGGGCCAAAGTCTACTCCACCTCGCCTGGATGGCTGTGATTAGGCCACAATGGCCAGGCACCAACTTTGAAGCGCCACTATCTGAGTATCTGATCATTCCTCATCAGCAGCAGCTACACTGAATGAAACTACATATTCTAACCTCAGCATCTTTGATGCGCTTCACTTTGATTCTTCCTGTCTACCTAGGTTAAAATGGACCAAGCCCCCCCTCATGTCATGTACCAAGGAAATAGTAATACATTATTATGTGGACACACCCCCAAAGTTCTCCTTGGTAGGCTATAAATGCGTGGCCATGACATCTGCATTGTTCTCTACACCGCACACCATCCCTGCTATCCCTCTCCAGCACTAGCAGCAAAAGCTTTTGCCACAAAAGAGAAGTAAGCTAGCAGAAATGGCCATGAACCACCCTCTCTTCTCCCAGGAGCAACCCCAGTCCTGGCCATGGGGTGTGGCCATGTACGCCAACTTCCACTACCACCACCACTACGAGAAGGAGCACATGTTTGAGAAGCCCCTGACGCCCAGTGACGTGGGGAAGCTGAACCGGCTGGTGATCCCCAAGCAGCACGCCGAGAGGTACTTCCCCCTCGGCGCCGGCGACGCCGCCGACAAGGGCCTGATCCTGTCGTTCGAGGACGAGGCCGGCGCGCCGTGGCGGTTCAGGTACTCCTACTGGACGAGCAGCCAGAGCTACGTGCTCACCAAGGGCTGGAGCCGCTACGTCAAGGAGAAGCGCCTCGACGCCGGCGACGTCGTGCACTTCGAGAGGGTGCGCGGCTCCTTCGGCGTCGGCGACCGTCTCTTCATCGGCTGCAGGCGCCGCGGCGACGCCGCCGCCGCGCAAACACCCGCACCGCCGCCCGCCGTGCGCGTCGCCCCGGCTGCACAGAACGCCGGCGAGCAGCAGCCGTGGAGCCCAATGTGTTACAGCACGTCGGGCGGCGGCTCATACCCTACCAGCCCAGCCAACTCCTACGCCTACCGCCGCGCAGCAGATCATGATCACGGGGACATGCACCATGCAGGTAAAGAAACGAAGACGAAGCAACTGATGATCATAAACAAAATTAACATGAACAGCATAACATTTCATACCTCGAGCTTTGCTTGCTCATACCATTTCTGATGACCAAACTGTAGACGAGTCTCCGCGCGACACGGACAGCCCAAGCTTCAGTGCAGGCTCGGCGCCATCGAGGCGGCTCAGGCTGTTCGGCGTCAACCTCGACTGCGGGCCAGAGCCGGAGGCAGACACCACGGCAGCGGCAACAATGTACGGCTACATGCACCAGCAGAGCTCCTATGCTGCCATGTCTGCAGTACCCAGTTACTGGTTAGTGTTAACTTCAAACACCACTAAATTGAAGTGATTACTTAGCTATAAGCATCAAGAACATTTCTCTAATCCATGAACTACAACTTAACATGACAGGGGCAATTCATAAGAAGATTGACTATGAGATCTGATCTGAGGCCATGCCTGCATGATCATAATTCATAAGTCCTAGCAAGCAACAGTGGAAGAACTAGTTGCTACTGCTCTGCATTCAGTGACAGGTTTAAATTGTGACTTGTGGAAGGACAAGGAAGGAAGTGGGGGGGAACTCCCTTGTTTCCCGGGCAAATGCATATTCCTTCCATCCCCATAGTGCCTTTTTTCTAGGTTATTTTCTTCTTCATCTTGGCTTCCAGAAACCCTACTTACTGTATGGGCCCCTGGCAGCAGACATGGATGGGGAGGTTTCAGGAAACATCAAGTTGAAAAGGAGAGGGGAATTGAAGAGACAGGCAGAGAGCTGTATGTATGTCAGTATGTGTCATCTGTCTGTATAGTGGGTCCAAGAACAAACCCTGAAGCTGATGTATTCACTCCTGCCTCCTCAGGAAACATAACTTTATCCCCATTTCACCTCTTCTACTGTGCTTGACCTGATGCAATCAATTGTTGATGGACCAGATGCAATTATGCAATGCTTCCATTTGTTGCAATCCAATAGGTTCACCGATTACACTGTGTAAGAAATTAAGGAGTGCATGTGCAATTTATTCCAACTTTTTAGAAATGACTTACATGGTAATTTGTCTGAATAAATCACTATGATGTTAATAGTATGACTAAAGAAAACTCCCGCAAACGACAAGCAGTAAAGAAATTACGTTGCAAAAACAACACCGACACCTGGGGATTTTCATGTCTTGATCTTTTATGGGTGGTCTCCACCTTTTTGTTCCCCAGGGAAGGAAAGGCTCAACAAAAAGATTAGTGTACAACAAGTGGTCTCAATTTCCCCTAATAGGATACTAAGAAAAGGCTGGCTAAGCTGATGGCCTAAGATGCAATTTCAGACACCAAAGGTCACAAAACTCCAATGACCAACAAGATTCTTCAAAGCATGCATCGGAAAAAATATATAGATCTGTCTCCCCCTTGTTGCCCATGCCAAAAACAAAAGGGAGCTTGCACGAGGCAAACAATTGAGAGGTTAGTGTTTTGGTCAGTCAATGTTTCAAAGTAGATGCTAGAGAAACATGACCTAACTAAGCTGACGTGGTTGTGATACCTGCTCTTAACCAAGGACAAAGCCATGGCTAGCCGTAAATTATTTACCGTGGTGACAACTTGTGAAACACGCCAAAGCTAAAACAAAGTACCTGGAGAATCTAGATTAAAAGCCTAACACCTAGAGCACTTGATGTGAAGACTGTTCAACAGCAAGTTGCCTGTTAAGTAGGTATTGCTATATACTAGCACTGTAGGATTAAGATACTGACACAAACTAAAAAAACAAGGTCCTATAGCATTTAACTGATTAGGATAAAAAGAATGAGCATGCAGATTTCAGGTTCATCTGAATGCGACTTGCATCAATTTTGGTAATGGTGATTAAACTAGCAGGTTAACTACCGTATCAACAGAACAAGATTTCTTGTCTGCTTACAAGAGCATAAGCCATGTGCAGGGTGGAAGCTAGCTTTCCCTAATGACAAAAGATGAAGCTAGCTTATCCCAGGGTTTCATGATTAACACTTTTGAACACCAAATAATTTTATCTTAGAGCAAATGGGTCATGTGAGTGCCATAATGATAAAGTAGACTGTCGCTCTAGGTTAACATATACCGAGGGAAGGGAATTATCAATGGTATATTGCAACTTCAAAGTACAGACTAATTATACCATCCACATAAAGAAACTTGCAGCTAATTAAATCTCTACCTTTTATCTGGGTTCAAAGCTTTTAGTGCCCTACTGATCATCCTTGTTTGAAAGGCACTGTCTGGGACACAACTAAACTGGACTCTAAAGGAAATAAGAAGGCAAAGCATGAATACTCGAATGGCAATGCCATGATGGTGAGGCATGCATTGGAAGTAGCCATCACAAGACTGAACAGCCAACCTAGATAGGGGGTCATATAGTGGGGGCAACTCAGACCGGACCTACAAAATGCTGGCCATGACACACCCATCAGGCACCAGCCACTTGATCTCCTTGCTTTCAATAAGTCACTGTCCTCATGAGGCTCATGAACAAGCATGGTCCACAAGAAACTGGTACCCTGATGAATGGTGATCTCTTATGTGTATTGTGGCTGTTCCCCCAGTCCCTGCTATTGGTTGTAGATGCCAGCTTCGGTACACAAACAGTACTTTCCATGAGAAAATAGACATGAGCATATGGTGGACCAACGATGACTCTGAGTAAGGACTTAAGACATGTCTGGTTGTACTATGATGTGAAAACCACGGACAAGATGTTAATCATAGTAAATGACAATGAAAAACATCTACACTGTATCAACAGTTTACTCTCTTCCTCTGCCTTACTGTAGTACAGACAGAACGAAGACCTCAACCCCCCAAATAGCAACATCCTAAAGTAAGTGATAATCATCATGAATAATATATAGCAGGAAAAAAAACAGCATTAGTATGCAAAAGAGAAAAAAAACGGTTATTGGACAGCATCCTTTAAAAAAATCAAACATGTGTCTGCAAAGAGGGAGCAACTCTATGTTATTTATATACTAATGCTAATGGGAGCTAAAAGTGTTTGGGATCATTTCTGGACTATTCAATAACTTACTCCTTGGTATGCCTGTTTCAAGCCAGGATAGTAGACATAGAAAAGGTTACACAATGTCAATGCACATGATGAAAGCTTCAAAGTAACTCGGTTGCCACTTGTCAATCGTGTAAGCCCCGCTGAGATGAATAAAAAAGTTAAGCTATTAATTATAGCTTAATAATTAATATGGAACAAAAACTTACATGAGTATTTTTATTTTAATGTAACAGTTTGCAATGCAACATAATAAAATACAATACAAAGATAAAATGAACGTAAACAAATTCCAAAGCACATGAGAGAAGTAGCACTAGCACCTGAGGAATAAAGCAGAACATTTTTTGGAGCTTATCATTTTTGAAGTGGAAATGGCGTAAGGAAGCTATCCAAAATGTGTATTGGTCGATGTAGTATCAGTAATTACCTGCAGTACACTGTTAGCATCCAGTAAGGTGGTGTTTAGATCCAGGGACTTAACTTTAGTCCCTGTCTTTAGACACTAATTTAGAGTATTAAATATAGACTACTTACAAAACTAATTACATAAATAAAAGCTAATTCACGAGACAAATTTTTTAAGCCTAATTAATCTATAATTAGAGAATGTTTACTGTAGCATCACATAGGCTAATCATGGATTAATTAGGCTCATTAGATTTGTCTCGCAAATTAGTCCAAGATTATGGATGGGTTTTATTAATAGTCTACGTTTAATATTTATAATTAATTTTCAAACATCCGATGTGATAGGGACTTAAAAGTTTTAGTCCCATCTAAACAGGGCCTAAGTCACACTTAACACCTTTCCTCAGAAGCTCAAATCAATAAAAACCGAGGGCAGCAGGAATCCACTTGCTGTGCATATTTCTACAAAATAACAGCTTGCATAGGTAGCAAAACGCTGGCTTACGATATGTGACATAACTATTGCACGAGATTGAACTGGGTAGGCTATTCAACCCGTTCAGATGATCAAGGACCCACACCCCTGCGCTTCCATTTGCTATACACAGTGCAGATGATAGCGCACGATATTGCACCGAATGGAGCCACAAGCATGACATTATTGATCGAATGACGAATCCATCAATATAAGTCCTGACACAGATCTTTAGAGCAACAGTGGCACTACTGGCAGGGCAATAATTTGCTACATGATGGGAGTACCACTTGATGATGATTGCTACTTGTCATTCGGTCTTCAATCACCAGAAGCCCCCACAAGAACACGAGCCATCCTTAAAATGGTGAAATCACTGGTACCTCAGATGATGACTACAAATTCAGCTATATTGTTGCAAAACTTGACGAAGGAATGGCAGTCTCTACAGACCCAATCCGAATGTTGCTGTACATCAACATCGTAATTGGGATATTGGGAGGCAAGCTGATTATCTCCAACGTGGTGTGCACATGACTGATTATTGGGTGCTCTCCCCACCTCCAACAACACAACAAAATCCTAAAATTTTACGCTTTGTGTCGATTCAACACCTGCCTCACTCTTTGTTTGTACCCCTATGCTTAAAAGATTTCCTTGCCATCGAAACTCTCCCAGTTTCCTCTGGCAAAACATGGATACCATCACTGCCAGGTTCAAGTAGGTAGTACCGTTTCAGCTGCTTCCCTGGCTAATCTAACATTTATATACTGTATGACCCAAGCAAAGATCCCCATATAGAAGCAGTTGGTTCGAACGGCATTTGCTGGAGCAATTCCCAAGCCCCATAAACCGCCGCAGATCGTCGCAGAACACCAACAACGCAAGAACAGTGAAGGTTGTTGCGCTCAACAGTACGGCCGCCAGACATTAGTATTGGGCCAAGTCTGAAGTCTAGAGTGGTGACTGACCACTGACCAGAGTGACCTGCAACCTCGTCGAAGCAAGGCCATCAATTCCCCTCCACCCACATCCCCGCACTTGGCATGCATGCAATTCAGGGATGACAGAACGCAAGGCACGAAAATTGATACCTCTCGGTGGGGGCATTCCGCCGAACACCATCGGCGCATTCCCTCTCTCTTTCCTCTTCCTCCTCTCTCGCCTCACAGCAGCAGGCGGGAAGGATCTTGCCGCCACGGCGCGCAAGGAGAGGGGTCGCGGTCGGTCACGCGTGCTAGCAATCAGCCGCGGCGCGCACGCGGAGAGGAATCGCTAGCCACGGTGCGCGCCGAAGGAGGGGTCACCGGTTGCGGCACATATGCGGGAAGGAGTTCGCTGGTAGCGTGCGTGCGTGCGTGAGGAGGAACTCGTCGTCTGGACATGCATGGGAAGGAGCTCGTCGTGTCCTCCCCCACCTTCTCCTGCCTTCCTCCCTTACCTTCCACGCCGAGCCCTAGTCACCATCGGGCCTCGCCTCCTCGTGTGAGTCAGCTCACCGGGACGACCATCGCCGCATCTGTGTGAACGACACGAGCGTAGGGTGGAGAGGCGTGCGAACTCACATGTGAACTTTTTTTTTTCCATGTCTCACGGACATGTGGGTCCACCGTATATGGTTTTCCATATCACACTAGCATGTGGGCCCCACCTGCAAAAAAACCACTTTTCAAACCACCAAAGGAGTCTATTTGTATGGGTTTTCGAAGATAGAGGATGCATTATACTTGGTTTTGTAATTGAGGAATGTGATTTAATCAAGAGCAAGGGATGAGGGAGGCCAGATATACTTAATCCTCTAAAAAATGGCTGCCATCTTCCGACTTATGGGCCGAGTAAATGGTCTGGGCTGGGCTGGGCTGGCAAGGGTGTATGACTTTGATGCTGAACTTCCAGTTACATACTTCATTTAGCATTGAACTTAGTACTGTGGTTAATTACTTATACCTAGACCTAAGGTGACATCATATAGAGTTTTCTCTAATTATCACGTAGGATTGGTGTAGTAACAAGATAGTACATCAGTACATTCATTTTATATGTATACTGGTATATATCTACGTGTTTGAAGTACAACACATTAACACCCATGTTTCCTATTAGCTTAAAAAAGAATATAAACTTCTGAACTGACACCGATAGCAGTATTGGAAGATAAACACGGAAGAAACCATATAAAAGGTTCAAACATAATGATGATACAAATATTTGTTAATATTGTTCGACCGAAGTCTATATTTACGAGAGTACTAACCTTTTCCCAAACCGTAGCATAATTACAACTGACGCGTGAGTTGTCTGGATTCGAGGTTTCGCTGCGGCGGATTTGAGCTATTGCATTGCGCGCGAGAGAAGCGATGCGATCCGCGCGCTTCCGCATCGACCAATCACAGCGCAGAGATGGAACCCCACGGATCGCGATCCGCGTGATGCCCCCCGAAAATCGCATCTCCACCGTCCATTCCACTACAATCCAATGGCATATATTTCGTGCTTCCCTGCCGCATCGCTCGCGCGCCAAAATTCCAAACCCCCAAAAAAAAAAAATCCCCGCGCGCTCTAAAATCCAAACCCACCCTCTCCCCTATATAAACGCTGCCATCTCCCTCGCCGCCTCATCCCACTCCGCCGCCGCCGCCGCGAAATCTCCAAGCCAAAGCGCCGCCAGAGAGCCCCGAGGCCTCCTCCTCCCTCCTCCGCGATGGCCCGCACGAAGCAGACGGCTCGGAAGTCGACCGGCGGGAAGGCGCCGAGGAAGCAGCTGGCGACGAAGGCGGCGCGGAAGTCGGCGCCGGCCACCGGCGGCGTGAAGAAGCCGCACCGGTTCCGGCCGGGCACCGTCGCGCTCCGGGAGATCCGCAAGTACCAGAAGAGCACGGAGCTGCTGATCCGCAAGCTCCCCTTCCAGCGGCTCGTCCGGGAGATCGCGCAGGACTTCAAGACGGACCTCCGGTTCCAGAGCTCCGCCGTCGCCGCGCTCCAGGAGGCCGCCGAGGCCTACCTCGTCGGGCTCTTCGAGGACACCAACCTCTGCGCCATCCACGCCAAGCGCGTCACCATCATGCCCAAGGACATCCAGCTCGCCCGCCGCATCCGCGGTGAGCGCGCTTAAAATTAGTTCAATAATCTGATCGCTTCATCGTTCTCAGCTACCTCTTCCTAGTAGAACCAGGATGTACTAGTAGTAGCTTGTTGCAATGAACTGTTTATCTGATTGATTATCAATGGAAAAATGATGTTCAAATCGGGCTATTCATTTATGTCCATTGAATTGTTCGATTCGTCTTTCTTTGACGCTGATTCTTGCGCATTGATTATTATCTGGTTTTGATTGATCTTGACTTGGTTGTGGGAAAGAAGCATGCGCGACTAATCGTCGTCGGAACCGCTCTCGAGTACGAATTTCGTTTCGTTGTGATTTTGTTTCGTATTCGAGGCGGCAAAAACGATGCGAGTTTTGGGAGGGTTTTTATTTGCCGCCTGAAAGGGAGACTACGAATTCACACTGCTGTAAATACGGGAAAACCAAAAACACGAAATGGCTTGAAAGTTGAAACGAGAAAAAAAAAGGTCAGGCTTGCAGCACTTGGGCAGGCCTCCTTTGGAATGCCAAAATTACGGCCCAACGAAATTTGGGCTTCCTAAACAGGCCTTCAATGGAAAAGGAATAAGTTTACCCTGGATCCCTCTATTTGTTGTTCACTCAGATTCTCGTCCTTGACTTAAAAAAATAGATTTTATCTGTCCTTCAACTTACAAAACATGCAAACGAGGTTTCTTGGTAGTATTGTCCTTGGGTTTTGGCTAATGCGATGCTTACATGGCTTCTTTGATTATGCGATGCTTACGCAGTGGTTTGATCCCGAAAAAAATAATGGAGCAAAATTGAAAACTTAAAGAATTAAGCAAAACATGCGGGACTGAGGTTGCTTCTTGCACATTTTTTTTTCCAACTTTGACGCTCTTTCAAATGCATGCAGAAATTTCAGATGAACTTTGCAAGGGATCAGTAAAAATTGCCGTGGTTTAAAAGGAGGTTCGAATGTGCCAAGTCTCTTTCTTTACGAGGATTTTTTTTTTTAGAACTAGGGCCAGAGAGCCTCCATTTCTCTTACTAGAAATGAACATATCCTTACAAAGTCAGGGGAACAAAAAAACAAATACGAGGAAAGAAAGCTAAAGAGCTTATCCATATGCCTCACAGGGCTAGATGGCTGAACACGAATACATCATTTGGTCATCAAAAAGGATAAAACAGATCACAAAAAACTAATAACATCTTCATCCTTCTATCCTCCTGATTCCAGGTCTCCATCCATGTCTTGAGCAGAAGATGTCACTTGCCACCTGTCTTATAAGTCTGGCTCCCAACTGCAGTCTTCTTCGATTTACTTCCAACTTCTGCAAAGATGCCTAGGAATCCACCCAGGAACAAGCCATAAAGACCAAATCAGTAGGATCTCTTGGAAATTTATTTTCAAAACAAGCTTTATTCCTGGACTTCCAAATTGTCCAAATGATTGCAGCTAAACCAATCACAATCAAGTGTTTCATGTTTTTATCATGTCTATCCACCCAATGTCCAAAAATATCCTGATGATTCAAAGTAGGCAGTATATCCAAAGCACAACACATGATATTCCAGAGAAGTTTAGCCAAAGGACATTCAAAAAACAAGTGCTGTATATCCTCTTTTCTATCACAAAATTGACACTTTTCATTCCCCTTCCTCCAACCTTTTTTATACAAGTTTTCCTTAGTGAGAATTTTGTTTTTAACAAACAGCCAAATAAAGACTCTAATTTTCAGAGGAATCTTAAACTTCCATATTTTCTTTTGAGGGAAAGACACCTGATGCATTTTAAGGGCTTTGTAAAACGATTTCACAGAAAAGATTCCATCCTTTGTCAAATTCCAATAGATTTTATCTTCAGAGTCATCCTGTAAGTTCAGACTTTCCAGACTGTTTTTGATTCTCACCCAATCTCTCAGTTTATCTCCCTCTAGATCTCTTCTGAATTTGATGCAATGCAAGCCTTTCATTTTCACCTTTGCAATTGTCACATGTTTGGTCAAAGCTATATTGTACAGATTTGGGAACTGAATGTTATGGGGTTTTCCACCTATCCAGCTGTCCTCCCAAAACAAAGTTCTTTTCCCATTCCCCACTTTTTTTGAACAAAATTTAAAAAAATCATCCTTTACTTCCATCAACCCATGCCAGAAATGAGAGTTACCCTGTTTAAAGTTTACCTCAGACATAGTTTTATTTTTCAAATATTTCCCCCTAAGAATCTCCTGCCACTAACCTTCTTTGTTTTCCAAATTTCAAATCCATTTCCCCAACAAGGCCTTATTCATAATGTCCAGGTCCAGAACACCTAAACCTCCTTGATCTCTAGGTGAACAAATAATGGGCCATTGCACTAAATGGTATTTTCTGATGCCTTGGTCCTCCTGCCACAAAAACCTCCTCCTGAAAAAGTCCATTTTTTCTTTCACTCCTTTGGGTAACTTGAAAAAGGAGATCATATACATGGGAACACTGCTTAAACTAGAATTGATCAAAATTAATCTTCCCCCTATTGACTGAAGTTTCCCTTGCCAGCATCCCAGCTTGCTTTCCATTTTGTTTTCAGCATTTCTCCAATCTTTTTTTGTAATGCGCTTCTGATCTAATGGGATCCCCAAATACTTCATAGGCAAAACACCCACACTACAAGTAAAAATCTGACTGAAAACCTCTGCCTTATCAGCAGCCTCACCAATGCAGAACACCTCACTTTTATTGAAGTTGATTTTGAGACCAGATAATTGCTCAAACAAACATAAGATGTATTTCAGATTTTTTGCATATGTCTCATTATCAGGAAGAAGAAATATAGTATCATCAGCGTATTGTAAAATAACCACTTTGTTGTTATCATTTTCCCCCAATCCTTCTATCAACAGATTATCTTCAGCTCTTTGCACTAGTAAAATTAGTGCTTTGGCTGCCAAATTGAATAGAAGAGGGGATAGAGGATCTCCCTGCCTCAAACCTTTATGTGTCTTAAAATAAGGCCCCACTTGATCATTTACTTGGACAGCAACCTTACCACCCATTATCACTTTCATTACCCAATCACACCATTGATCAGGAAACTCTTTTGCTTTCAACATTCTATAAATAAAGACCCAATCAACTTTGTCGTATGCTTTTTCAAAATCCACCTTAAAAAGGACACCACTTTGTTTTTTCTGATGTAAGGAGTTAAGAATTTCATGCAGGATCAGCACACCTTCCATTATGAATCTATTTTTCAGAAACGCTGTCTGATTTTTTGAGATGATATATGTCATAATTTCTGTAATCCTATTCATGAGCACTTTGGTTATAATCTTAAAACTGACATTCAGGAGACAAATAGGCCTGTATTTTTGAATCTGAGCTGCATCCTTAATTTTCGGAATCAGGTTAATAACACCAAAATTTAATCTATCAATGTCAACCAACCCTTTGTGAAAGTCATTCACCAATTCTAGAAGATCTCCCTTGATCAGATCCCAAAACTAAGTATAAAACTCACCAATAAAACCGTCTGGGCCTGGAGCTTTGTTTTTCTTAAGCTCGAAAACAACTATTCTGACCTCTTCCTCACTGAAAGGTTTGGTCAACATCACCTTGTGTTCTTCCATGATTGTTGTAACCCCTCTCATATCTAGAAAAAGTGTGTTCTGTTTAGGATGACCAAACAAATCTTTGTAAAAGCTAGTAATATAGGTTAACAACTTCTCTTGCCCTTCTATTTCACCTTCCTCCTGAGTTAAGGAATGAATATAGCTTTTCCTTTTTCTCCCATTGGCCTTGGCATGGTAGTATTTTGTATTACAATCTCCCTCTAACAACTCCTTTTCTTTACTCCTTTGAAACCATTTAATCTTTTCTTCTCTAATCACAAAATTCAGTTTATCCTCCAACTCCTTCCTTTCTTCTCTATCTTCCCTGCTCATCCCACATCTTTCAACCTTCGCATCCAAATTTTCAATTTTCTCAAGAATGCTTTCTTTTTCCCTCCTATATCTCCCCTCCCAATTCTTATTCCAACCATTAAGTTTTTTCCTCAAAGCTCTGAATCTTTTCTGCCATCTCTCAATACTAGATCCATAATAGTTAATTTTCCAAACACTCTCCACAATTTCTTTTAAATCTTCTCTAAGAAACCAACTGAGTTCAAATTTGAAGCTCTTATGAGTAATCTTTAAGACTCCAGTATCTATGAGCAAAGGATTGTGATCTGAAATGCTTCTAGTTAAAGTTTTTGCCATTGTGAGGGGATATTCCTTTTCCCAATCTGTGTTCACAAAAATTCTGTCCAATTTTTCTAAAGTGGGATTCTCTTGATTGTTACACCAAGTAAACTTTCTCCCACCTAGAAAGATTTCTCTCAAATTAGCTTGCTCTATGACAGCATTAAAAATGAAACTCCACCTATTATACCCTCCAGCTTTGTTTTTATCACTTTCCTTTCTAATAATATTAAAATCACCACCCATGACTAAAGGTTTCATTTGTTTCTGAATAATGTTAGCCAGTTCAGTCAAAAACCTATCCTTGTGTGCATTTTGGGCTGCTCCATATACAACTATCAAATCCCAGCAGAAATTGGTTTGCATAACTTGCAATTCAATTTTAACATGAAAATCTCCTTTTGAAACAGCCAACATACTCAGTTTGTCAATGTTAATTCCTACCAAAATTCCTCCTGAGTGACCCATAGCCGGCAACCACTCCCATTTCATATTTTTGTTACCACTTAGACCTCTCAATAGACCAACAGAGAAATCCTGCTTTATGGTCTCCATAATCCCAACAAAATCAATGTTTTTTTCCTTAATCAAATCTTGTAGATGACCAGTTTTTTCAACCTGACCCATTCCTCTAATATTCCAAAAAAGTCCTTTCATTTTTTCCTGGTTTTTTTATTATATTTTTTCCTACTCATCTTTGGAGTGACCTTGAAAATCTCAAGGTTTCCTCTTTTGCTTTTATGCTTACTACCAGAAAAATGAGAGCCTTTAAGTAAAGAGTCAATATGCTCCAAATCAGAGTCATATCCCTCAGAAGAGCACAATTCATCAAGCAAATTTTCCACAGGGAATTCTATCTCAGTTTTAGATTCACAATTCTTATTCTTCATAACCTCTTGTTCTTTTAAAAATAAACTAATTCTAGCACATTCTAAGTCTTTAATCAAAGACAAGTTTAAATCAATATTATCAATAGCACAG